GGAGCCATCAAATGCCTTCTCCTCCGTGAATTTGTCTAATCCTCTTTTAAAGCCATCCAAATTGGTGGCCGTCTCATGTGGGAGTGAGTTCCATTGTTGAACTACAAGCTGCATGAAGAAGTCACCCCCATAGCTGTCAACGTTTCCCTTTTTTAAAGGGAAATTCCCTTATTCTGAAAAGGGAAAAGTTGACAGCTATGGTCACACCTAGATAACTTTAATATGGAAAATTTGTGAAGAAGGAATTCCTGAACGAATATAGCCCATGGGAACTGGGTGCTGAGCTATGAGTATGATCCAGCAAGAAGTCCTCAAGGAAATTCATCAGTGTTAAAGCACTTCTGATATATGCACATTTTTGCATACCATCTTGCCATTTTCGCAAACATTGCCCCCTAATAGGATGCTATGCTGCTTTCACTAATATATGCAGTCTTCCCTTTAATGCACACATTCACACATATTATTTGGTTGGAGAGCTGCAATGAAAACGCCCCCAGAGAAGTCTGGATTTTGAAGGAAGGCTGTGTTTTGTTTCACATATCACATCTGGGAAGTGGGAATCAGGTAGTTTTCATTAACATGAGAACCGAGCCAAATGTCCACCCCATTCCCACACAAGGCTCACCTTGCCCTTCAGATCCTGTCCCTTCAAAAGCTCTCGACACCAATGACACCTACAACCCTATCATATTGCACAAGTTTGCAGTAAGAATGGAAGCTCCACCAGTCAAAATGTGACCTTGTAAGCCATTTGAATCCCTATAGCTGTCTGTTCATACTGGGTCTGTGCATCTTTCTATATGTTTCTCTTCTACCAGGCATTCAGCTTATTAACAACCCTATGGTAGTGCTTTTTTCCCTTTAAAAAATGTTTAGGGGGTACTCTCATTTTGACTCAAGAAAACCACCATTTTATAGTTCAAATCAGGAAAAATAAATACAGTAAATGGACAAAAGTACAAAGATTCACAAAATGTTTAGGGTATGCGTCCCCCTGCGTCCCCCCAGAAAAAAGCACTGTCCTATGATCTTTTAAATGTGTTTGTGGGAGGGGGTTATTGTTTAGTTTTAGTTTTAGTATGTATTTGGTGTTTTTGTGTTGTATTTTTATGCTGTGAACTGCTCTAAGATCTTTAGATGAAGATCTAAAATACAAATTTTGGTAATAAACAACAACAACATGCAACTGAACTTCCTTTCACCCTTTCACCAATCCAGCTCAATATTGCCTACTCTGACTGGCAGGGTCCCTCCAGAGTTTCAGGTGAGGAGTTTTTACCAGCCACTGAGGATTGCAACTGGGCCCTTCTGCATGCAAAGTGGGTGTTCCATCACTGACCCAAAGCTCTTCCCTTACAGATAGGTAAAAGGTCAAGGACCCCTGGACAGTTAAGTCCAGTCAAAGGCGACTATGAGGTTGCGGCGCTCATTTCACTTTCAGGCTGAGGGAGCTGGCGTTTGTCCACAGACAGCATTCCGGGTCATGTGGCCAGCATGACTAAACCGCTTCTGGCACAATGGGACACCGTGACGGAAACCAGAGCGCATGGAAACACCATTTACCTTCCCGCTGCAGTGGTACCTATTTATCTACTTGCACTGGTGTGCTTTTGAACTGCTAGGTTGGCAGGAGGTGGGACAGAGCAACGGGAGCTCACTCCATCATGGGGATTCGAACCGCCAACCTTCTGATCGGGAAGCCCAAGAGGCTCAGTGGTTTAGACCACAGTGCCACCTGCATCCCCTTACAGATTAAACAGGATTCCAGTCCTCATGGTTCTGAATGAAGGGCTGGTTTTATGGGAAGCTGCCTTATACTGAGCCAGACCATTGGTATGAAGTCAACATATATGCACACTTCAGGGATCCTCCAGGCAACAGCTTGTGGCCTGAGTCCAAACCAGCATCATCTCCCACTTTGAGGAATCTGTCATCTTCCATCCCAGTAGCCTGCCTTAATGGTGCCTTTCATGATTCTTTAATGGCGGTGAGGGATCCTGCTGCTTCAGCAGTCTGCTGCCAGAGTGGGTGCTAGTAAACCACAATGCTGCAGGAGGAGGTTGAGCGGACAAGCAGGGGCTCTCTGCAGCCCCCTCGCTCCGCTCCAGTCGATTTGATTAAAGACGTAAATCAAAAGGTGGAGGCAGGAATCAATAGCCCTGACAAATGGAGACTCTTCTGGAGACGCTACACCTGGCCCAAGTCTGATTCATCAACATGCACTGAGTAAGTAACTCTTGTTGCAGGAGGGGAATTGTGGAGGGGGTGGGGGAGCCATAGGTAGCAGTACTGGCCCATCAATAAGAAAAAATCCAAAAGTCACAGCGTGATTTAGGAAGGGTCAAATCGGTCTGTTATGAGTTATTTTCACTTTTATAATTGTCGTCGTCATCATCTTCTTCTTCTTCATCATCATCATCATCATCACAAAATAGGTATGTACTGGGGGCTGAATCCCTGCTTGCTCTGCTCACCAACCCCCTGGCCACCCCTGCTGCATTAATTCCCAAAAGCTTCCTCTTCTCACTCCATGCAAAGACTTAGTTCACTTTTCTTGGCCTCTTGAATTTTTCTTCATGCAAATGCAGGGTTGCGATGCCGCACTACAAATCTTCCAATGGGAGCTACGTGATGACAGCCTTACATTTTTATGTATATAGGAGGAAATACTTCACCGGATGGTACTTCAATGTGAATTTTTGCCTTAATATTGAACATGTAAATGGATAGAAACTGCATCAGCTGTGATCCAACCTGGCAGGCAGGTGCACCATCAGCACTGAGATCAGCACCAGTCAGCTTGGAAACACCATTTTTAATTTCCTATATGCTTTGTGGGCATGGGAATCTTTTTATCCTGAGGGTCACCTTCCCACTTGGGCCACCTTCCAGCTTCCCATCGGTTCATCTGGTTGGCCACTGTGAGAACAGAATGCTGGACTAGATGGGCCTCTGGCCTGATCCAGCAGCCATGCTCTTCTCAAAATAGAGGTTAGGTGAAAACACGTCCCTTGGATGAAGTCTGACTCAAGGAAACACCCAGCTGGGTTAAAAAACTAGTATCAGGGCTCTCCCTGAAGGAGTATCCCCTTGACATTTATCTGACAAGCTTCCTGCTTGTACTTTCTTAGGGCCTCACTAGACAGGATGCTAAATGTATCCTTAGAAACACCAGCCAGTTTTAAAAATTATTTAATAGCAGGTGCTGAGGCTGATTTTCAGTGTGCGTGTGGAGATAAAGATTAACTCTTCCTTCCCCAGTCACTTACCTAACAAAAAATTGTTCTGTCCTCACTACTATTATAGGTAGAGGGACCAGTGGCCTGATTCTGTATGAGGCAGCCACCTACTTTTGAGCCTGGTAGACTGGGTGTGGGCAGAAAAAGTGATGTGTAATGTCATGTCCTACATCGGTATCTATATAAAGCACCTGTCTTGATATTAGAAAAGAAATTATGGCTGTACTTTTTTCCCTTTTCTATGCTGACAATGCAGGGTCTTTTCCTGTCTAGGTAGGTAGGTAGGCAGTGGTGGCTCTGTGGTCTAAACCACTGAGCCTCTTGGGCCTCCCGATCAGAAGGTGGGTGGTTCAAATCCCTGTGACAGGGTGAGCTCCCATTTCTCTGTCCCTGCTCCTGCCAACCTAGCAGTTGGAAAGCACACCAGTGCAAGTAGACGAATAGGTACCACTGCGGCCAGAAGGTAAACGGCATTTCTGTGTGCTCTGGTTTCCATCACGGTGTCCCGTTGCACCAGAAGCAGTTTAGTCATGCTGGCCACATGACTTGGAAAACTGTCTGTGGACAAACGCCGGCTCCCTCAGCCTGAAAGTGAGATGAGCGCTGCAACTCCATAGTCGCCTTTGACTGGACTTAACCATCCAGGGGTCCTTTACCTTGCTTTTTTTACCTTACCTTTGTCTGTCTGCTACATTTGAGATTCTCAGTTCCTGCAGTGGACTTCAGAAACCCAGAGAGGAAATAAGAGGTACTATGGTCAAGTGTCTGAAAGCCAAGCCTTATGAGTTGAGGGATTTGGGCATGTTCATTCTGAAGAAGAGGGGAATGAGACATGATATGAGAGCTGCCTTCAAGTATCTGAACTGCTGTCATATGGAAGATGCAGCAAACTCCCCCCCCCTTGCTTCTCCATTGAGTAGGACCTGAACCAATGGATTCAAATGACAAGAAAGGAGATTCAAATGAAACATTAGGAAGAACCAGGGCTTTTTCCAACTGGAACTCACCAGAACTCAGTTCTGGCCCCTCTCAGGTGGGCACCATTGTAAGATAACAAGGGAGGTGTTCGTGATGAGTTCCGGCACCTCTTTCTAGAAAAGTAACACTGGGAAGAACCTTCTGACGGTAAAAGCTATTCAACAGCAGAACAAACCTCCACCAGAAGGTTGTGGACTCTCCTTCATTTGAGGCTTTTAAACAGAAGTTGGATGGTCATCTTTCAGGGATTATTTAGCTGTGATTCCTGTATTGCAAGGAGTTGCAGTAGATGCCCATTGAAATTCTATGAGTCTATGATCCAGCCCTAGGTTTGGATACAGGGACCCACAGCCTAACCCTGAAAGTCACCTGGAGCTTAAAAAGCAAATATTGTTATGCAAATCCCCCCGCCATCCAAAAAACAAACCCAAGAAGATGAGACCGTAGTAGAGGGAGAATGTTTTTGCACCTGGAAACCAGGTACGCATCCTGAATCCAGCCATGATTTGTTACCCTCCAGTTCCTCTTTTGGAAGAAATCTGGCCCTTAAATCTTCTTAAGGAAGCCACCCATCAGTCCCAAGCAGGTGTTCTTTGGAGACAACTCTATTCTTTGGGAAAGATTATGGTGACAAATGGGAGGTGTATGGGTGCCATGCATCTAAACAAGCACCCACTGGGAAGGGTGGGAGGGCTGGCATTAAAACTTTTGCGCCACTGAGCCGAATAAGGAGTGAAGCCACCCAGGGACCCGGTTTACTTGAGATTGTTTAGCCAACCATGTCATGCAGATCATGAAAAGTGCTTTAATCTGCAATGTTACAGGGCCTCCCGAGGGGATTAGCTGCCGTCCCAATATGTTAATATAGCAAAAATGGATGATCCAATTAAGCTCTGCAAAGTCGCGTTGGAAGCAAAGGCCCATATGCTGCTTTTTATCCCTCTCAGTGTGCAAGGATGCAGCATAAAATCCGGGCAGCCTGTGACATCCGATGAGCCGTTTTGGCCTTCTGCAAGACGGTGTGTGTGTCCTGTGGGACTCTCTTCAATCTCAGAAAGCCTGAGCCGAAAGGACTTTTCTGAATTCATCATGCCATTCACAGGTGGCAAATTTGGGGAGGATTTCAATGGTTTGCAGGATGGACACAATGTCTGTTCACAGACAAGCAGGTAGAGATGGTTCACTTCAACAAGGAGAGAAGGTTCACTCCAGCAGGTGGAGGAGGTTCACTCTAAGCCAGGAGAGGTGGTTCATTCCAGCAGGTGGAGGTGGTTCACTCTAGCCAGGAGAGATGGTTCACTCTAGCAGGTGGAGGTGGTTCACTCTAGCCAGGAGAGATGGTTCACTCCAGCAGGTGGAGATGGTTCACTCTAGCTAGGGGAGGTGATTCACTCTAGCCAGGAGAGATGGTTCACTTCACCCAGTTGGGATGGCTCACTCCAGCCAGTAAAGGTGGTTCATTCTAGAAAGTAAAGTTAGCTTGCTTCAGGAAGCTGCCTTATCCAGAGTCAGGCCATTGGTTAATACAGCTCAGTACTGGCTGGCAGTGGTTCTCCAGGGTTTCAGGCAGGAGTCTTTTCTTTGTCCAGTTTGGCCATACCAGGGACCTTTTGCATCCAAAGCTGCTGCTCCACCATTGAGCACCACCGGACTGCAAATCCCTTGACCCTTGACCATTGGCCATGCTGGCTTGGACTGATGGGAGTTGATGTCCCACAACATCTGGAGAACCACAGACTAGGGGAGGCTGCTCCAGATATCATAATATGGGCTTTATCAGAGATGTTGTGGACACATGATTCTGCCTGGGGCTGCTGCACTGCAACACAGAATTGCATAGTTTCCGGCAATGCACAGAGGAGTGTTTTTTCTCTCTCTCTTTTTCAGAGTAAGATCATGCCAGCAGGCCTTATTAAAGAAAAGCATGCTGATGAAAGGAGAAAGCCAGAAAGTGTTCCAGGGAGAGTCCTTTGGCTCCTGCCCCATCCTCTCCCAGTTACTGGAGCACTGGGGCTCACAGTAAATGGCTGTTGCTCATAATTTGCTGAGCTCATTGCAAGCAGAAGCAGAGGGAGGCCAACTCCTTGCCTGGCAGGACCATTTCAATACAGACACATAAAAGAGATTTGACTTCCCCGCTGCCTTGATAGGATGTAAGCCCAACTAGCTTTTCTTCTATCAACCACTGATGGGGAAAGGGAGGACTCCCGAGCAAGCTGAAGGAGCCGATCACCAGATTTAGAGAAGAGGCTCTGTCACCTTGCCCTTTACATTGCTAGGCCTGGCCCAGTGTTTCCCAAACTTGGGTTTCCAGCTGTTTTTGGACTACAACTTTCATCATCCCTAGCTAGCAAGGCCATTGGTCAGGGATGATGGGAATTGGAAAACCAAGCTGGAGACCAAGTTTGGGAAGCAATGGCTTGCCTATGAGAACCACTTTGGAAAAAGGCAGGGAGGGAAATTTCAAGTCTGTTGGCTGGATGTGGCCCATCAGGCTTTTCTACCTGGCCCTTGAGACTGCCTCACCTGCTCTGTGGGCCATACTTCTCATCTGTGTTGATCCAGACTCTCAATTGCCTTTGCCTGGCTGAAACGTGCCCTTGAATTGTGATAATGCCTCTTGCTTGCTGGATGGAGATAAACTTAGACACTGCAAGCTCCTCCTCCTAGGGAGGTGGAGCCACTGGTAGGCGAGGCCCTGCCAACCTTTATATGGCTTAAGAGGGGATGACAACATCTTCCCAATCTCAGATAGCAGGTTTCCCTAGAAGAAGAAGAAGAGTTTGGATTTGATATCCCGCTTTATCACTACCCGAAGGAGTCTCAAAGTGGCTAACATTCTCCTTTCCCTTCCTCCCCCACAACAAACACTCTGTGAGGTGAGTGGGGCTGAGAGACTTCAAAGAAGTGTGACTAACTCAAGGTCACCCAGCAGCTGCATGTGGAGGAGCGGAGACATGAACCCAGTTCACCTGATTACGAGTCTATCGCTTTTAACCACCACGCCAGACTAGGAGCTGTCCAGGGTCCTGATTCCCCCCTGGCCCAGAAGAGGCTCTTGTATTCATCACCAAGTCAAGCCCCAGTAGAAAGAGGATTGGTAGCAGGGAAAGAATGCAGACCAATGGCTGGTAGACAATGGAGACTCATCGCAACATTCTAGGAATGAGTCTGAGGAAGCCCATTGGTTCCCTTACTGTTCCCTACTATGATGGGCTGTGTTTCCACACTGATGCTGGCAAGGTTGCCAGAAGGAGTGGGAATCAAGCTCAGGACACCAGCCTTCTGGTCGCTGCGGAGTATCACTGAGTTGTAGGTCTGATCTATGGAAGTGTTGAAAGGTCACTGCTTGAACTGAATATGGAACTCACTTCCATAGAAGGAAGTGATGGCCACTCACCTGTAGGGCAGTAAAAGAGGACTGGAGAAATTCATGGAGGATAGCAATGGCTACTAGTCATGATGGCTGTGCTCCGACTCCACAGTCCAAGGCAATGATGCTTCTGAATGGAAGCGGCAGGAGGAGCGAGCGCTTGTGTGCTCATGGTCCTGCTTGAAGGTTCCCATGTGGGTATCTGGACAGTCACTGTGAGAAAAGTATGGGGCATTGACCTGATCCAGAAGGCTCTTATGGTCTTCTATGTGCATAGAATTGTTATTGTTAATGTATAAGACAAATAATAAATGTTGGAAATGTAAAGAAAAAGAAGGAACATTTTACCATATGTGGTGGGAAGGTAAGAAAGTAAAAAAACTTCTGGGAAATGATATATAATGAGATGAAAAAGATGTTGAAATATACATTTTTTAAAAAAAACAGAAGCATTTTTACTTGGTATTATAGGTGAGGATATTAATAGGCCAGATGTTAAATTGTTTTTATATGCAACAACAGCAGCAAGAGTATCATTAGCCCAGAAATGGAAGCAAGAAGAAATTCCAACGAAAGAAGAATGGCTAACAAAATTAATGGGTTATGCAGAATTAGATAAAATGACAGGAAGGATTCGAAACCTGCGGGACCAGAGATTTACAGAAGATTGGAAGAAATATACAAACTATTTGAAGAGCAACTGTAATCAACAAATTACGCTAGTAGGACTACAAGAAGTGTTGTAAGGAGAAATGTATGAAGCATTGCAAAGTAGAGAAAGAATAGTGATAGTAGTTATGAGTTAAATGTAATTGTGGAAGTAAGAAATGTATACTTAGTGAATAGATTGGGAAATTTTCAGATGTGATTGATGGAAGTCAAAAAATTGTATAAGATGTTAAAGTATGTTTAATTATTGTTGAAAATGATATGTTGAAAATTAATAAAAATTAAATATATAAAAAAGAATTGTTGTTGTTGTTTATGGAGGAGCAGTCAGTCAGACTCCACACTGGACCAGCTACTAGTTATGATGGCTATGTTCTGTTTCCATGGTCGGAGGCAGTAATGCTTCTGAATAGCAGTTGTTGGAAACTGCAGGAGGGGAGAGCCCTCTTGTGCCTGCCTCCTGCTTGTGGGCTTCCCATTGGGGCATCTGTTGAGAACAGGATGTCATGCACCATTGGCCTGATCCAGCAGGCTCTTCTAATGTTCTTTTTTTATAAAAAAATAAAAAAAAATTTAACATAATTGTTACAAAATTTAAGAAAATATTGCAAATACATACATATATATTTCAAATAAGCACATACGTGTGAAAAAAGGAACAAAAGAGAAGAAAAGAAAAAAAGAAGAGGATACTTTTCGGGGAGGTTCCCCCTTCTCCTTCCACCTCTTCTCAAGCTGTGCCTTACACCTTTTAAAGACCCGACCACCACGTTAGAGTAATTATCCTCATCGAGTTATCTGCAACTGGCAGTGGAAGATTCAGTTGGGTCGGTTAGCAGCTAAGAGAGAGTGAACGGACAGCACTCTCAAATCAATTAGCAGCCAGCAAGGATCAAATTGAAAGGTAATATTATTTTCATCTCCTGTCTGGGAGACAGGCTGGAGCGAGGAAGCTCAGGGCTGAACATCATACCCAATTGCTTCTAGTCTGGGAGCTGGAATCCTTGTCATTAATCTCTTCTTCTTCTCTGGCTGCAGTGAATCAGTGCAGAATCTCAGGGAGATGGGTCTGAACATGTGGATGCTCTGAAAAGGGATATGGATCCAAACCCTGCCCCTTGCTCCATCTATATTGCCACACCTCATTTCCCCTTCAGACATGCTCTCCTGCTCTCACTTCAGTTGTTTCACTGTAGCTGGGGGCAGGTACCATTCCCAACAGCTGCCTGGTTGGTATTAACCCATGGCAGGGCCTTTTCAGTGGTGGCTCCCATTTATAGAATGCCCTCCATAGTGATGTATGTGTCCCTCTCCTTTATTATTGACATTCAGGGAGATTTTGAAAACATTCCTGTTTAACCAGGCAGTTGGTGGCTAAAAAATGACACTGTTCCTAGAAACCCCGAGAACACCAGCTGAGAAAATGTTTCTAAACTGTTTTCAGAATGTTTTGAAACTGCTTTTGCTTGTTGGTGTTTTTTTAAACGTTTAATCATTGCTGTGACTGCCACCCTGGGCTCCTTTGGGAGAAAGGGTGGGATATGAAGCAAATAAACAAAAACAAAAAGAATAAATTTGCGAGGGAGAGAAAGTCGACGAAGAGAAGGAAAAGGCAGAGGCGGTACGTTATCGTTATAGCAACGTAAGTTAAATCGTGTCTGCCTGGAGAAGCAGAGGTGGAAGGGCACCATCCTCTCTAGAAAGGAGACCCCTCCTTCAATGGGGTCATAAATCACCGCTTGCTCTCAGATGATGTTGATGGGGCAAGGAGAAGTTTCCAGGTAGACGGGAGCTGTGCCCTCTGAGTCAAGGAGAAAGAAAGGTCAACTGCCAGGGCCGTCAAAACTCCTCCACAGGTCCATTATGGGCTGCTGTTCACCATCAGTGTGCCTAGGAATGGCTCTCCAGCAGCTGTGGACCCCATCAGGAAAAGCCCCCTTTGGCTTGCTGTTTTTCAGAATCTCGCAAGATGGCTCTCTGAGCTATCATTGCAGAACCAGGGACTGAGATGTGTTCCCTGCGCCGAGGAAGCCGCCCGGATAATGAAGATGTAGACACATTTCCACTGCACAGCCCCAGCTAAGTGCAGGCAAATAATCGCTCTAATTACTCTAATTACTTAAGAGATAGCTCTGTTTTCCCAAGGAAACGTTTTAACATGGCGGCTCAGCAAAATAAACGTGTGTGGCTGGCTCCAACCTCCGAGCTACAGGGCAGCTGGCAAATGCGTCCCTCAGCTGGATGCAGATCTCCAGACTGACCAGGTGTGTTTGCCACTTCAGGGAGGAAATGTCAGTCATGACAGTGGATGTCAGAGAATCTGGACTTAAACAGAAACAGAAATTGCCAATGCTTGATTCATTCCATGTCCGGAACTAAAATCAATCCAGTGAATACTTTTTTTTGTTGCTGTCATCCTGCAAAAGATACGTGAATGTTTATGTCTGCATTTATTTTGCCTTGAGGTGAATGTGGTTGGAAGGAAGTCATGACGATGTCACTTACATAAGCGACTTAATTTCACCACAGCAGAGAGTGAGTCGAATGACGTAGTTTGGGTGGAAGACGAACGGCAGCAGAATGGAAACGCTGCTGCGTGTGAAGACTACACAGTGGAACAGAAAACAATGTGTTCTTACATCCCTAGTTAAGCTTAAGGGTGCAGAAGATCAGGAAGGAAACAAACCTGACCCACTGAGTAGGGAATTCTCCTGTGTAAAGCCTCCTCAAAATGAATGGGGATGCTGAAAGTGCTCAAATGGGATGTTCATGTTCTTGTGGGAATGTTGTAGATACTAGGAGAGGATATATTGATTTAATAGTATCCTTCCTAACTCACGCTTGTGAGTCAGCAGCAGAGTACATCCCCCAATATATAGCAGGAAGTTAGTTGGTAGATTCGTTTGAATTTCTTTACTTAAGCAATTCAATATGGCTTTGTTCAGATTGGGTTTTGTTCCTGGCCAGTCCCCTTTTTATCTTTCCTAAAAAGAAGAAAGACACAAGAAGCTTCTTTTAAAAGTAACAAGAAGTTTACTCACATTCAGTTCACAGTTGATTCCCTGAAGGCAGGCTTTAGCTTGTAGTTACAGATACAGTGTGGCTCACATCCTTGTAAGGATGGACCTATGTGCAGCTCGCAGAGAGCCAGCAGTGCAGTCCAAGAGAAGAAAAGGCATCAAACGAGGAAGATGGCTGTGTGATCAGCCCCTTTTATGGGGTCTCCCAGGATCACACGCAGGGGGAAGAAGCTCCAGAGCAGGTGTGACAGGAAGTCCTCCTGGCTGTGGAGTAACACCCTCCTGTGTGTCCACTCTGGGCAAACAGGAAGTGTTGTACTTGACTGCTTATGGTACATCCCAGAGTTCCGAGCCAGTATACTCATTAGAGCAAATGGGGCACTGCCCCACCAATCTCATTCTGCCCTCAGCCAGCCATCTCTTGACTGTCTTCTTACTTACAAGCAGTCCAGGGGGTGGCCCAGCCTATCAGCTTCCTCTTCCTTATTCTCTTAGTGTTGCCCTTGTAGAACTCATCTGGGAGGAAGATAGGGACAAAACTAGTTGGCTGTTGCCTGTCTTTGACTCTGGAGGCACATACTATTGAGCTCCCTGACTTCACCCAAACAGTCCCAATGGGCATTATGCAGCACTGAATATAACCCTAGAGTGTGGTAAGACTGTACAAGGAGAAAAGCCCCTTGCTTGCCCAGAAAAAAATGTGGAAAGATGCGTGGGTGTCTCTGTGCAGAAACTTTGGACCTTTGCCTGTTGGGAATGTAGTCTATTCCACAAAGGTATTGTCCATTGGTCTGCCTACTTTCGCATCTGTTCACACTCAGCACGAGTATGCAGCACCTGGAAATTTTGGGGGAAGGGAAAGAAAAAATAAGAACCCCAGGAAATGTTCTCTGAAGTTATTCAGGGCAGTGTTGGCTAACCTAATCAAGGAAGGGCTGTGACTCAGTGCTAGAACATCTGCTTTGCATGCAAAAGGCCCAGGTCCAGTCTATGATGGCAATCTCTGATGGTGACTGAAAGTGGCTGCCGAGACCATATAACACTGGTCCTGAAAGACCTACATTGGCTCCCAGTACGTTTCCAAGCACAATTCAAAGTGTTGGTGCTGACCTTTAAAGCCCTAAACGGCCTCGGCCCAGTATACCTGAAGGAGTGTCTTCACCCCCATTGTTCAGCCAGGACACTGAGGTCCTCCTCTGAAGGTCTTTCGGTGGTTCCCCACTGCAAGAAGTGAAGCTACAGGGAACCAGGCATAGGGTCGTCTCGGTAGTGGCACCCACCCTGTGGAATGCCTTCTCACCAGATGTTAAGGAAATAAACAACTATCTGACTTTTAGAAGACATCTGAAGGCAGCCCTGTTTAGGGAAGTTTTTAATGTTTGATGTTTTATCACATTATTATTATTATTATTAGTATTAGTATTAGTATTATTATTACGTTCGGAGCCACCCAGGGTGGCTGGGGAAACCCAGCCAGATGGGTGGGGTATAAATAATGTTCCTCCTCCTCCTCCTCCTCTTCCTCTGCTTCTGCTTCTTATAGGTCTGAGAATGTCCCCTGTCACTTCCAGTAAGCGTAGATAATACTAAACTCGCTAGACCAATGGACTGACTCTATCTAAGGCAGCTTCTGACGTTCCTATGTTCAGGTAACGCTCATTCCCACCCTGGCTTCAGACCCAATCATCCATGCCAGTTCTCTGCCCCCTATATCTCCAGGTCAATATGTGGGTCAGTAGTCAAGGCCAGTCCAAGAGAAGTGGTTGCATCTTTCCTCAAGCCACTGTCTAGGTCACTTGCCCCATGAGCTTCCAGAGGTAATTGTCCGACTGCTGCTGGCTGCAACAGCTGGAATAGATGCATCTCAATCCAATCCAAGACTTTTCTGAGGTTCCTGATGTGTAGTCATTCCACCAAGCTGAGCTGAAACAGAAGCAAGTTGCCTGCACAGTGCAGGCACCTTCAAATTGAATTTCAACAGGGAGGTATCAAACGCTACAAGCAGGAAGAGAAAATCAATCGCATTAATGCAAAATGGAGGTTAATTGGCTAGACTCTAACCTTCCTGCGCAGCTTCTGGGGACGATGGGGAGTCCCTGCTTGGGTAGGAGGCTGTGATATCACACTGTAGAGAGAATATGGTTACACTGTCAGGCCTGTCTCCCCCGCATCAGCAGAAGTTTTGTGAAAGGTGTGATGAGGAGTGTTGTGGAAATCAAAACCCACTTTAGCTAATGGGGAGACCCTGATGTTGGGAAAGATGGAGGGCACAAGGAGAAGGGGACGACAGAGGATGAGATGGTAGGACAGTGCTCTCAAAGCTACTAATGTGAGTTTGACCAAACTGTGGGAGGCAGTGGAAGACAGGAGTGCCTGGAGTGCTCTGGTCCAGGGGGTCATGAAGAGTCGGACACGACTAAATGACTAAACAACAACAACAACAACAACAAACAAGTTCTTCCTTTCTCAGAGGATCTTGGGATGATGCACAGACTTCAGCACCCACCTCTGTCCAGGCACACCCTTATGTAGAACCCAAAAGGGGGAGGAAGGAGGAGCCACGGGGTGAAAGAGGCAGCACTTCTCCCCCAGCAAACTCCATCCCCCACATGTGGGTGGGCAGACACACATCGTGTATCAGTGAAATACCTGTCCATACTGCACTTGGCTTCCTCCTCCTGAAGCCTGTTGAAAAACAAACCCTTCTCACTACCAACTTAATTATCCCCCATGAATATGGAGAGGTTCCTTCTGCCTGGGAAGCCTTGCAGATCAGCTTCTCATGAATAAATTATCTTTGCTTTGTGAGACTCAATGCACCCTCCCCACCCGTTGGAAGCATCCATAATTACCTTTGAAATACAATCATCTCTTGGATGGGAATGTTTGTGTTGCCACTCTGCTTTCATCTTCCTCCCCCTCTCCCAGAAACGCTAAGCCATTTCCCTTCTCAGGGTGGCTTTATAAAGTTCATCTGGTTAGGGGAGAATTGAAAGCACTCATTGTTTTTTTGATCCTGCCAAAACTATTCTTGAAAAACAGAAAGGGGGAAAGTCTTCGGCCAACCTATTTGGTGCTGCTTGCATAAAAGCTTGCTTGCTCATCTTCATTGCCCCCTCTTCCCGCCCCACCTGCCCAATAGACTTTATTACATTCATTGATGTAATCACCTCACCAAATCTGATGGATGCTATAGTGTAGTGATGGCATCTTATTCACTGTATGATTTCTGACTGGCTGCGAATCACTATTCAACTCATCCAGGAGGTGTCTTTGCCCATGGAGACCTCTGGTCAAATCTGATTGGCTAGTCCCATGTGACATCATCCTTTTATGATGGGAGCCATAATTGGCTGAGACTGCTGATGACTGAATGAGCCATCAAGAGGTAAATGATGAAGTATCAATGAGGGAATGAGCCACTGAAGATCATGTTGTTCTTGTTTAGTCGTGTCCAACTCTTCATGGACCAGAGCACGCCAGGCACTCCTGTCTTCTGCTGCCTCCCACAGTTTAGTCAAACTCATGCTGGTAGCTTCAAGAACACTGTCCAACCATCTCGTCCTCTGTCGTCCCCTTCTCCTTGTGCCCTCCATCTTTCCCAGCATCAGGGTCTTTTCCAGGGAGTCTTCTCTTCTCATGAGGTGGCCAAAGTATTGGAACCTCAGCTTCACGATCTGTCCTTCCAGTGAGCACTCAGGGCTGATTTCCTTCAGAATGGATAGGTTTGTTCTTCTTGCAGTCCATGGGACTCTCAAGAGTCTCCTCCAGCACCATAATTCAAAAGCATCAATTCTTCAGTGATCAGCCTTCTTAATGGTCCAGCTCTCACTTCCATACATCACTATTGGGAAAACCATACGACTGAAGATCATACACCACAGATAAAGCTTTCAGCAGGCGAGGTTGTTCCGTTACGGCAAAGGGAGCATCAACCTCCATCTGCCCTCAGCCAGCACTCACATGACTGTCTTCTTTCTTATAACCAGCCCAGAAGGCTGGCCCTGCCTGTCAGGTTCCTCCTCTTGAAAAGTATCAGGGTTGCCCTTGTAGAATTAATTGGCACTGCCTGTCATTGGCTCTGGCTCCACCTTCTGTTGGGTTCCTTGCTTACTGACCCATCCATTTCAATGCGCACCAGCCACCGCTCTCTAAAACTTCCCACCCTGGAGGATTTGGGTTTTGGAATGCAGCCTTAAGGTTGCATCCAGTGCTGGTCCTACCCAGAGTTAGGCCCATTGATAGGCTGCAGCAAACTTAAGTTCACTAATTTCAATGGGTCTACCTCGAGTAAGTTTAGCATTTGATGCAACTCTTATTCTCTTCACTTCCCACTACTGCTTTTCCATTGAGTCATTTTATATCCTCTTTTTAATATTCGCCTTATTTCTTGTATGTGTTTACTTGAGTTGCTTTGAGTATTGATTTTCCCCACTATGGAAAGTTGACCAATAAATCCATATTACCACAATATCACCCAATATTCCTGGAAGAAATAAGCTTCTCAGCAGAGTAGGTTCACACACTGAACGTAATGTTTCAGTCATTGGCAGAGATGTAGTGGTCCAGAGTCATGTGGGGGAAGGGGGAATCGAAGACCCGTTACCATTTCTGCAGCGGAGTCCCTGTCTCCATCTGAGGGTCACCCAATCAGCACGAAAGGGGAGCTTTTTAAGCTTCTGAGAAGTCATCCTCTCACCCTTCATGGTGCTTGGGGCCAATCAGCATGAAAGGAGGTGAGTCAGCAGCTGAGGATGGGCTCCTAGGGCCACTCTGAAGAAGGCACATTGGAAGAACACCACAGAGGAGTTGTTCCTTATGCACCAAAGTTAAGCATTTAGGAGCATGCAGTTTCCAGAATATAGTGTACATGTCCTGTTATGTGCAATGGAACTTGATGAAAAAATGCAACTTCAAAGGATGACAGTGGAGCACTCCAGATCATTTCCATGTGCACAAGAAATAGTAGTTTTGAAAGGCAGTGCATGGGGATCTGGGTTGTGTGGGATGTAATCCACTGGAGCAGTCAAATACAACATTCCTTGTTTTCTTAGAGTGGGCACAAGCAGGGGGATGTTACTCCAGTCAGTATAACTTCCTGTTCTACTGATCTGGAGATTCCTCCCCCTGCATGTGACCAGGGAGATGGGTGTGACCCTGGCTGACTCCATAAAAGAGGTGAGTCACACAGCCACTTCTCTCTCTTGATGCCATGCTGCTCTCCTGCAGCCATTTTGTTCTCTTGATGCTGCTCCCTTAAGGTATTTTGCTGTCTGCTGGCTCTCAGCCAGCAGCACATGGGCTCAATCCTCATAAGGGATGAATTCACACTATGTTCTGTAACTACAAGCTAAAATCTGCCTTCAGGGATCATACTGTGAACTGAATGTGAGTAAACTTCTTGTTACTTTTAAGGAAAGACTCTTGTCTTTTAAGAGGGATCAAAGGGGACACCAGGAATAATCCAGTCTGTTCAAGCCAGACTGGATTGCTTAACTAAAGAGATTCAAATGAATCTGCAAATTAACTTCCTGCTGTATTGAGGAGAATTTGCTCTGCTACATGACTTACTAGTGTGAGTGAAGGAGGGATAATATTTAATCAATATATCCTCTCCTACTATCCTTAACATTCCCACAGGTTGATCATTGCAATGCATTCTTAATTACAATTATTGCATAATATGTCATCTTAGAATGGGGCATGGCTATGAGGGAACATGGTTATGACTATCATGAAAGGACCATGCACTTCTGAATTTTCCACTACGCTACTGGTCATTGAATATGCATATACAAGTAGGTCTCTGTGCCTGGGAGTTTAATGTAATGTATTTCTATTTTGCCAGTGAATTAATTATTTGGCAAAGTTCAGAGTTAACCCTCCGTGTTGGCACCCACAAGCCATTATTAATACTTCTGCCTCCATTGGTTTAGAGGAGTTAATGGAAGGAGCCAGAGAGTGGATGTTTTGTCTTCAATGACGTCCTCCTGGTAGCTGCCTTTTCTATTTATGCAGGAGAGGATCCCTGGCTCTCTCTGTTCCTTTTCTTACATTGCAATTTCAGACTGGGGTATTTTTCCACATGGCAGAATTATTTATGAGAATTCTGAAAATGTAGATATAATGTTTCCAGCTAATAGAACTCAAATCACTTGTGCTGCACCATTAGAGAGCAAACCTTCCCAAGTAAATTATACACAGGCTGTAAATGGAAGGACTTGTAGTGTTTTTATGACCCTATAAAACTTTGGAAGTTTATTGCTATTGAACAAACAGGAGATCCAGATCCTTGAAACTCAACGGCAGAAACTGATGGCATCCAAAAGCATTGCAGTGACGTCCAGACCCATTTACTGTGATGAATATGATTAGTGGTTTGAGCAAATGAATCAATCAAGGCCTCCTTTGCAGCACAATCTGAAAAGGCCAAGAATAGGGATGGGTGTAATATATTTGAGGTGGTGGTGAATTATTGCATTATATGTGTGTGTTTGTGTGTGTGTGTGTGTATTGCTTTGCTTCTCCCAAAATCCCCCATATTTTTATAAGAACATGAAAGCAAGCTGCTCATATACTTGAAGGAGCGTCTCCACCCCCATCATTCAGCCCTGACACCGAGGTCCAGCGCCGAGCGCCTTCTGGTGATTCCCTCACTACAAGAAGTGAGGTTGCAGGGAACCAGGCAGAGGGCCTTCTCGGTAGCAGTGCCTGCCCTGTGGAACACCCTCCCATCAGATGTCAAGGAAATAAACAACTATCTGACTTTTAGAAGACATCTGAAGCCAGCCCTGTTTAGGGAAGTTTTTAATGTTGATGTTTGATCGTGTTTTTAATGTTCTGTTGGGAGCCGGCCAGAGTGGCTGGGGAAAGCCAGCCAGATGGGTGGGATATACCGGTAAATAACATTTCTTCTCCTCCTCCTCCTCCTCCTTCTTCTTGTCAGCCCAATGACCCATCTAGTTCAGCATCTGGTTCTCCTGAAGGAGGAGGAGGAGGAGGAGAGTTTGGACTTGATATCCCGCCTTTCACTCCCCTTAAGCAGTCTCAGAGCGGCTAACAATCTCCTTTCCCTTCCTCCCCCACAACAAAAACTCTGTGAGGTGAGTGGGGCTGAGAGACTTCAGAGAAGTGTGACTGGCCCAAGGTCACCCAGCAGCTGCATGTGGAGGAGCGGATACGCGAACCCGGTTTACCAGATTACAAGTCCACTGCTCTTAACCACTACACCACGCTGGCTCCCAGCGGCTAGAGGACTCAAACTTATGAGGTCCCTGAGTCTTAAACTGGGGGATCAAACAGCCATAGCAAGTGCCAATGATAAACCAGATACTTACCTGTGGTCCTACAACACCTGGCAGGAGGTGGTGCATTATAGCGCCACTGCAGCAGGTGGTCAGGAAGGGGTACTCCAGCTGCTAGCTTCACACAGATCAGGTGACACATGGCAGCCAGTAGGGCTCAACCTGGTCCTATAAAAGCTGTTGACTGCAGCTGAGCTTCTCACTCTAATTCATTGCTCAGTAATGCCCATCTAAAAAGCACCCTCTGGATTCCACCAAAGATTAATTGGGCTTTTTGAGTCTTCCAGTTAGAGATCCATTCTGCAGCTTAGATATGAGTTCTGAGGCTATGCTATGCCATCTTCAAGCAGAGGCGGGAGTCCTGCTTTCTTCTCAGATTGAAATGTAGGCACAAATCTTAAGTGTCCTGTTCTCACCCCTGACTTCATAACATAATCTGTACCAAGCAAAATTCAAGGCCTGATACGAACATTAAGAATCCATGCAGCTCAGGACGTGGTTACTTTAAAAACTGCCTTATGTACCCAGAAGGTCACTGCTCTCTGCAGGAGAGTCTCTCCTTGAAACTCTGAAACTAACAGAACCCCCCTCCTCCCTGACAGCAACTCAGAGCAGTTTGGAACAGAATCCTTTTGTTGAAATACAACAGGTGCCCACTTTTTGTAGTTTCTAGAAATAATTAAAGATATTTTTGCATGCAACATTTTTAGTTCAACCACCTTTGGTATTATATTATATTATATTATATTATAGTAGAAAGACATCTACTTCTGCTTCATTGACTATGCAAAAGCCTTTGACTGTGTCGACCACAGCAAACTATGGCAAGTTCTTAAAGAAATGGGAGTGCCTGATCACCTCATCTGACTCCTGAGAAATCTCTATGTGGGACAAGAAGCTACAGTTAGAACTGGATATGGAACAACTGATTGGTTCAAAATTGGGAAAGGA